GCAGTTTGGAAAAGGTGAATGTGGCCTGTAAGAAAGAAGAAAGAAAGAAAGAAAGAAAGAAAGAAAGAAAGAAAGAAAAGAAAAGAAAAAAGGAAAAATTTCTAATCCACCACAGATGAATATTTTTATAAAATACAAGGAAAATTCACTGGAGGGAAACCTCCCAAAACCTAATGTCTTTATTATAAGGCTTATTAGACACAAATCCTCCCCCACCTGCTCACAAGCCCCCGCCCTGAGGTGGTCCTCAGCCCCTCGGATGCACAGGGCTCTATTGATTAGAGACAGGTGCTTCCAACACTTTCCGCAGCATATGGAAGAGCCTGCTCCGAGGAGGCAGGTGGCCTGCCTGAGGTTGCACAGCTGCTGAGTGGGGCTGAGCCCCAAAGCTTTGCCAAGCCTCTGGAGACCCTAAACCTTGTTTTTCCTCCTGCTCTTCCCACAAGGTCAAGGACTCAGCAGATGGCACGGGGTGGGGTGTGTGTGTGTGTGTGTGTGTGTGTGTGTGTGTGAGCCAATTTAAGACAATCAGAGAGCTGCTTGTTCAGTGTCCTCCTGCAAGGGGGAGGCAGAGGCGGGCAGCCTCCGGTCTCCTGACAGCCCTTCAGGGAGGGCCAGAGAAGGAGGGCAGGAAGAGGCAGGGGACTCATCAGTCCCTGGCAATTACACAGTGCTTTGTCATTCTTAATTAGCTCAGTGGCTCTGCAGCCTGAGATCTCCACGGGCTGCCCACACTGGGAGGAGGCAGCTGCGGGGTTCCCTGGGGACAGCAGGTGGGTGGGCGGGGTAGGGCTCTTGAGGGGCACCTCCCCAGACCCTCCAGACCCTGCTATTCCTCCGGCTGCAGAGAACCCTGACCTGTAAGATGTGTCAGAGAACAGAGAAACAGGATGTCCTTGGCTGGGTTGTGGGCACCTCCAGGTGCTCCCCAGTGGCTCCAGGGGCCCCTGGGAGCATGAGGACTTCATTTAGATGAAGTGCTGTGAGCCGGGAGGAGGGACCAGGTGAGCAAGCAGGCAGGTTAAAGGTAAGAGCTGTGAAAGGACAGGCTCCTCCTGAACCACTTACCCGTTTCCCAGTAGCTTAGATTCCCCTCGGGGTGGCTCGGGTAGCTAAGGTGAGGCCAGCCCACTCACTCAGGCCAGGTCATTGGGGGAGGGGGAGGAAGTTCTAGTCTCCAGAACTCTCTCCCTTTCGCAGAGCCGAGGCCACAAGAACCACCAGTTTCACCTTCATCCTTGGTCCAGCAAGGAGAGCGGGTTTAGTGTGACCCTGGGCACTGCATAGACTCCAGCATAGACGGGCACCATCTGAAAACTCCAGAAGTTACTCTTCCGTGCCTCCACCCACCCCGTGAGATGGATCCCCACTTCCTCTGTCCCCGTGTGTGGCTTAGAAACAGCTCACACGTTCATTCCTTCAGGTCCAACACGGGTTCTCAAAAGCATAGGGGCCTTAGTCACTCACACCACACACCAGAGCGGTCTCCATGACACTCACCTTCCGGAGAGCCCATCTTCTAATACTGTCCAACAGAAATGCCCACCCCATCGCACCAGTTTGACACATTTGAGGAAACCATGGCCCACTGTGGTTAAAGGGTTTTGTTTTGTTTTTTGCCAAAGGCCAAGCTCATGCCGGCGTCTTCTAGGTTGACCTGCTCCAGGCCCCGGTGGCATGGGCACAGCAGGTGGAGGGCTGACTCAGGGAAACAAAAAAGAGTAAAGTTTTTTTTTTTTTTTGTTTTGTTTTTAAATTTTATTATTACATTTTACTTATTCATTTTCCTCGTGGGCAGCATGTGGGTGGCGAGGGGTGGGTATGGAGGTCGAGGACAGCTTGGAAAAGTCCATTTTTTTCTTCTATTTCGTGGGTTCTAGGGATTGAGCAAGACTCTGGCTTCCTGCCCGGAGCCCTGGCTTCTGTCTCAGTCACTGCGAGAAGAGGCTAACCGCCCAGCTAGCTTGACCTATGCGCTCTCAGCAGAGTTCTGGTGAGAACTCATCAGGTCAGGAGAAAAAAAAAATGTGACTAAAACGAGAAGGTGCTGGAGGCATCCCCTGGAGGCATCCTGTTGCCACGTCATTGATTTTTTTTTTTTTTTTTTTTTTTGTTATTACTAAGGGACTCACAGAAGTGTAGAATCGTTTGTAAAATTAGATAAGTTAAAACAAACGAACAAACAAACAAACGGGGGGGTGACCCACGCCTGTGGTCCCAGGGCTCAGGGAGGTAGAGGCAGGTGGATCTCTGTGATTTCGAGGCCAGCCTGGTCTGCTTCCTGAGTTTCAGGACAGGCAGGGCTACATAGTGATGAGACCGAATCTCAAAAATTAATTAATTAAGTAATTAATTAATTAATTAAAACAAAACACCCCCCCCCTCAAAAAAAAAAGAAACCAACCAAAAAATCCAGAAGTCTGGAGTCTGGAGATGTAGCTGCTAAGATGCTTGCTCTAGCGTGCAGGAGGCTCTAAGTTCAACCCATAGCATCACGTGTCCCTGTCATGAGGGCGGCGTCCCTATAAATTCTGGCACTTTGGAGGTGGAGGCAGGAGGATTACTGGCATGTCTATTCCGCCAGGTAGTGAGACAGAGGCCAGTAGGGAGCGACAGGAGAACCTACCTAAAAAACAGCACTAGGACCCCAAGCAGAGAGAGTCGCCTCAAAGCCTTGACTTCGGTGTGTTTTCCCTGGCCCCGTCCTGTGGCGCCCCAGTACCTCGGGGGAGAGGCCTAGAGCCCGGGCTGCTGGTCCCAGCCTGCTGTGCGACCTTGGGCAAGCGCCTGCTCCTCTCTGGGCCTCGGCCTCCTCACCTGTGAAATGCGGCTTTGGGCACAGTGACTGCAGCGGGGGACCCCTTGCAGCTCTGACCTTCTGTCGCTGCTCCTCTCTCCCAGCAGCAGCAGAAGGGCCCCCAGCAGCCGGTCTCTCGGCAGGGGACGCGTGCCCGACAGCTCCCAGCACGTCACCTCCGGAAGGACGCAAAGCTGCTAAACAGTCTTCGCTGCCCACACAGAGTCCCCGGGCGGGCCTGATTGCAGCGTCCATATGTCTCCCCTACCAGCCAGACACCACCGCTGTTCTGGGGCTCATGACCCTGATGGCTGTTTTCCCCGCCGGGTTCCCAAACCCTCTCTGCTGTTCTGGGGTAGAGCTGACCCTGGACAAGAAAGCTGGGGTCTCAGCTCTGTCACCAACCTCCCCACTGCCGCTGCCTTCTGAGGGGAGGACAGCCAGCCTGGTGTGGGTGAAGGCTGGGGCGAGGAGAGGGCAGGAGGAGGACAGCCCTTCCCTGATGACAGCCCTCCGACCCCACTTGTACCTTCCTTAGGTACGTGGTGTGCGTTGGGGGAAGAATCAGAAAACCTTTGTGCCCTTGAGGACGTGACCTCTACCTAATGCTGGGGAAATAACAGGACAGCATTCTAATGCTCTGAGTTTAAAGCGATGGGAGCCCACGGGGAGAAATATAACCCAGAGGTGGTGGTCCAGGAGGGCTTCTTGGAGGAAGCAGGTGGATTTTTTTTTTTTTTTTTGAGGGCAGGGTTTATCTCCTCTAACTCCAGTCCCACAGGACAGCCCCACGGAAGAGGTCGTATTGCCTCCTTTGCAGATGACGCTTAGAACAGCCAGACCATGCCCGCCACGAGGACAGACGGGATCCCACTGGGGCATCATCTTGACTCTCAGAACCCCAGGTGTGTCAGTGGCTGGCTGCACTGTTCACTCAAACTGAGCTCTTGGGACAGACAGGAGGGTTTAGAAAGTGCAATGTGAACCAGCCTCCCCCAGCAGCCAGAACACACAGCACTTCTGTCTCCCCGCCAGGAGAGGCCTGCGGGCTTCTGAAACCAGCCAGAAGTCACAGCTGCGCAGCTGAAGCCCAGATAAAGCCAGGTACTGAGCACCTGCCTGGGATGTCCTCTGCCCTGCCCGAATCAGCTTTTTGGGTACAGTGGGAAGCAAGGATCAGGGTTTTTGTGGTTGGAATTCTTTGTGATTTGGGTTTTTTTTTTTTTTTCAGGTAAAGTTTTACTCTGTACTCCCGCACGTCTTGGAATTTGCAGGAATGCCCCTGCCTCAGCTCCCCGAGTGCTGGGATTACAGGTATAAACCATGGCAGCTGGCTCTAGAGTCACACTGCTAGCTCCTGGAGTTGGAACAGGTGTGCCGCCTTGGAAGCAGGCAGGGGCCGGAGCAAGGTTATACAGCGTCTGCCTAAGCTAAGTGGATTTACTAGAAATAGGATCAGCTTCGTGTGACAGATATCATGACTCAGAGAAGGAAAGGACAGCCTGGGGTCATACAGCAAGCCTGAGTCAGAGGAAGGCTGCATTGTCCCTGAGACTGTTAGTTCTTGTTTTCGGTTTTCGAGACAGGGTTTCCCTGGGTGTAATTTTGGCTGTCCTGGAACGCAATCTGTAGACCAGGCTGGCCTCGAACTCACAGAGATCGGCCTGCCTCTGTCTCCCTGAGTGCTGGGATTACGGGCATGCGCCCCTGCGCTCGCCTTAGTTAAATTAACTCGTTACATTTATTTTGCGTGTGTATACACTGGGGAAGGGCATGTGGGTTCCACTGTTAGCGCCTGGAAGTCAGGGGACAGTTTGCAGGAGTCTTCCATGACGTGGTCTCCCGGACCATAATCAAGCTCGGTAGCGTGTGCCTTCATCCACTGAGCCGTCTCCCTCCCATCTTCCACTTTTCTTTCTCTTATTTTTGAACAAGACCCTTGACGGGTCTGGCCCTCACTCTCCCCATCTGCGAAATGGTCTCCAGGTGCCTTTTAGTCTCTTAGCTGTCTGGAAGGCCATGGGATCCTCTAGCTTGGGGGGCGGGAGCCCTGGTGGGCCCTTCGGATAAGAACGCAACACAACGAGAGCAGCCGCGAAGCAGCAATCGGCCTGAGAGGGGCGGGGTCGCGATCTGGGGGCGTGTCCACGGGGCGTGTCCACCCTCTGACCACGCCCTCAGACGTCGCGGGAAGGGCGGGGGAGGAGCGCGGCGGGCGCGCGCCGCCTGGCCCGGCGGAAAGTTTTCCTGGAGGAGTTTTGGCGGCGGCGGCGGCGGCGGCGGCGGCTGTGACCGGAGCGGGCCATGGACGCGCTCAAGTCTGCGGGGCGCGCGCTGATCCGGAGCCCCAGTCTGGCCAAGCAGAGCTGGGCGGGCGGCCGGCACCGCAGTGAGTGTGTGCGCCCCGGGTCGGGCCTCCGCTGAGCTTGGGGCCGAGGTGGACCGGCGGCCTCGTCCCGCCCCGCGCGGCCGGTCCCCGGGGGTCATGTCGGGCCGCGTCTGGGGCGGTTCGGCCGGGAGCGGGCGGAACTCGGGGTCCTCAGGTGCGGCGCGGTGAGGACGCCCAGAGCCTCTCCACCCGCCCCAGCTCAGCCCATGGGGTTCCCATCGGGCGCCGAGTCCCGCAGGTTCCTGCTCCGAGCGGCGAGCCCAGCCTGGGTGCCACCCGAGGTCCCCGCTTCCTCCCCTCTGGACGCGGCCAGGTGGCGAGGCTGGCGTCCAGGTTATTTTCAAAGCTTGTTTCCCTCGTACCTTCTCTTGGGGGTTGTCCAAGTCCCTGGGCACCTAGGCAAAAAGCAGACTCAGACTCGCTGCCACTTCCCCCGGGTGTCTGGAAAGGCGGAGAGGAGCCTCCCCCCTCACCACCTCTCGGGTTACTCTGGGAGCCGTCACCTGGCACCCTCCCCTGAGGCCTGAGAAACCTAGCTCCGGTCCCTCCCTTTTCGGAAGTCGTTCATTCGAATGGGATCACTCAGGCCTTCCTGAAGTGAAGCCAAAGCTCCTGGACTCCGGCACACCCTCACCTGCCGCCCACCTGGGTCCCCCCCACCACCCCCCCCCCCCCCCCCCCCCCCCCCCTGGCCCCCCCCCACCCCCCCCCCCCCCCCCCCGCCTCTCTCACTAACAGTACCCCCACCCCGCCCGCAGCTTCTTGCCAGCACCTAGCCTTGCCCGCTCCCCCAGGGGAGTCCGAGTTCCCTAGTCCCTGAAGCGCCAGCGTGTCTGGGCCTCGGGAGTCCGCCCTGCCCCTCCTTTCTCCCCACTGTGGTATTCCAGTTGTGGGCTCCTCCTAGCCCTGCCTGGCATTGGGAACGTGAGCTGGTGCCTTACTGGTGGGGGTGGGGTCAGAGGCCCCACAGGCAGGGCATGTACCATCTTCCACTCTTACTGACTCCCAAAATAACCCTTCAAAAATTCGTGGGATGTGACCAGGACTTCTGAGCATGATGTTCCCTTCCAGTGGATGAACCCTGTGGTTTTCTCCTGGGACAAGGAGGAGTGGGGTGGGGAAGAGGTCTGAAGGGGAGGGAGCCAGGAAGCAGAGATGGATCTAGGGGAGCAGGGTTTCCCTTCTCTCTCCAGTCTAAGGCGGGTCACTTGTTCTTAATGATTTCGTTTCCCCAGCCTGCAAAGTGGGGATAAAATTCCCGTGTTGCTGTGATGTGCGTGGTGTGTTTGGTAGGGTGCTTGCCTAGCTGGCCGGTACTACGTTCTTGGTCCCAGCATCAGCACTTCACAAAACCCCGTGAAGTTGCAGGTGTCTGTAATAATCCCAGCACTAGGGAGGTGCAATCCTGAGGGTCAGAAGTTTGAGGTCATCCCCCCCCCCAAAAAAAAAAAGTCCAGATAGTGAGTTTGAGGCCAGCCTAGGCTAGGTGTTAAGATGTTGCTAATGCATTATCTAGGTTGGGTGTAAGGCCTGGTGAAGCCCAGGCTGACCTGGAACTTGCTAAGTAGAGCAGGTGGGCTTTGTGCCTCTGTCTCCCCCAGCGCTGGGATTAAAGGTATACACCAGGATGACCATGTCTTCGAAGCTCAACCTGATTCTTACCAGGTTTGGCCAGCCCAGAAGTGGGGCCTGGCAGCCTGTCTGTGCCCTGGAAGGAAGCAACCAGCCTCTCCCTGCCCCTCTCAAAGCCCTGCTCTCAGAATGAGTTCCTCAGAAGCCTGGCCTATCTTTGGTTAAGTGTCAAGTTCATAATCTCACTTTGCCAGGAAGAGTAGTGGTTGCCAGGAACTTTTGTGGGAGTATCAGTGTGTGCTTTACTTGCCCAGAGGTGGCCTTAATGAATTGCTCGCTCTGGCTTTTGTCTCAGGTGTTAGCCTTCTGTTAGCTCATTGGCTGCTGGGAGGTGACAAAGCTTGGGCTTCTTATCTTCAGACCCATTTTAGAGATAACGGACCTGGAGCTGAAGGCAGTGGCTCCAGGCATGGAGTCACTGAGGCAGAGGTTTCCCAGCCCAGGGATCTTAGCCACATACCTTGGGTTTTCTGGCTGTTGGGAGAGCCAGGGCCAGGCCCCACTCCAGGTTTGGCTGGCTGCCAAACCAGGACCAGTGTGGACACAGGTTAGAGAGAAAGGCCTTGGGTGTATGCAGCATGTGAGGTTGGGACCTAGCCAGTCTTTGGGTCTAGCTTTCAAGATCAAAGGCCAGAGCCTGTTAGACGGGAAAATGAATGTGCTCTCAAGCCTGGAGGACCTGAGTTCCTGAAGGTTGCCCTGTGACCTCCCCTCGCACATGGGCACATGGTGGCGTGGGGGCTCCTCATCCCCACATACGTGCTAAGGCCAAACCTAAGCTGGGGGATTCTGGTTGGAACCAGCCCCTGCTGAGAGAGAGGAGCCTAGAGGGGAATTACAGCTTGCATGAGGGCAGAGCCGCTGGGGACCCAGCCACTGGCTTTCCGACCAACCTGGAAAGAGGGCTCTCCTCATGGCCACTTTCTCTGTCTTTCTGGGGACAGTAAAGATCTTTTGGTTTTGTTTTGTTTGAGGCAAGGTTTCTCTGGGTACCCTGCTTGTCTGGGAACTCACTCAGTAGACCAGGCTGGCCTTAACCTCAGTTCTGGGATCAAAGGGGTGCATCACCACCTGGCCGAAAGATCTTATCTCAGCCCCTGGTTAAGAAGCCCCAGCCCTAGCCCCCTGCTCAGTGGTATCCTTCCTAAAGGTCCTGGGGTCACTTTGACCCTCAGATTCCTTTATGAGTTGTGCTCAGCAGTCAGAGAACCCAAAGAGAAAAGATAAAGGAATATAAGGCACCCCTCCCAGGAAAGGTAATTTGTGGCTTGACATGGGCTTCTGTTCATATTTACCCATAGGAATGTGAGTACTGCTGGGCTTAATCCTTTAATCCCAGCACTGGGGAGGCTGAGGCATGAGTTCCAGGTCAGCCTGGTTACCAGCCAGTTGCAAGACAGCCAGAGCCACGTAATGGAGATAACCTGTCTCCAAAATGGAAAAACAAAAAAAAACCAATGTCCATCCCTGTGACAGCGGTGGGCAGTGTCTGATTGTGTCTCCTGATAGTGTACAGCGTGACTCTGGCTCTCAGTTCTGGTGGAGGAAGGGACAGAAGAAGGCCACGGATACTTGCTGGGACTCAAATAGGATGCTCGAAATAAGATAAAACCACAAAGGGGCAGCCTTTTCAGGTGGGGTGTTCTCTTCTGGAAGTGGCCGTTGAGACATGGGAGGCTTGCCCAGGACAGCTGAGAAAGGAAGGCAACCTCCATAGTGGACGGTGGGGTGGCCCCGGAGTTCAGGGGTCCCTCAGGGTAGAGTCAGTGCTGAGCTGTCTTGCTCCTGAATGGCTATGGCCATAGATGTGGCAGCTGTTGTACGTGGAGACCATAGTCCCATCTACAGCCTCGTACCTCTAGCCGCCAGGCTGCAGAGAGCAGGGCGGGTGCTGGTGTCATGTGTCAGCCAGGAAGTGTTCTGCAGAGAGGGGGTCGGGGTGATAGGCGTTGGCAGCCACCTCTCTTGAGAAGGTGACCTGGAAGGCACAGGTAAGCCCAAGGAGGGAAAACGTGGGAAGAACAAAGCGGAACAGCAGCCCTGGGGGACACTGAACTAGAGGGTCCCCTCTGTCTGCTTACTAAGGGAGGGGCAGGATGTTTGAAGAGTCGGGTCACCCCGCCTTGCATGGGAAGGGGTTTGCTGGTTGCCGAGTGGGGTGTGGGGCTTGAGCCTCAGGGCTGTCACTCGGGGGCCCTTGGTTGTATTTCTTGCCTGAGCTGTGACATAGTGACTCCCCATAAACTCAGCAGGCTGCCACGTGTGCATTGAAGCCCTTTGTGCCTGCCGGGTGACAGGGACAGTGGTTGGTCCAGCGTGTGCTGGGCAGGGTCATGTATGAGCTCAGCTCAGCTCAGCTCATGTGTCCTCATGACAGCTGAGTAGGTATTGTTACCCATTTCAAAGCAAGGAGACTGAGGTGCAGGGAGGTTGAGGCTGAGGGACTGAATCTCTTTATTTTATTATTATTTTTTTCTTCCAGTATATGAGGAAGATCTGGTTGTGGTAACAACCAGTTATTCACTTTTGAGAACAGTCTTGGTAACCAGAACTTCTGAAATTGGCTTAGGTTTTTGTTTTATTATTATTATTATTATTTTTTGAGAGGAGGTTGAGACAGGTTTTCTCTGTGTAGCCCTGGCTGCCCCAGAACTCAGAAATCCACCTGCCGCTGCCTCCTGAGTACGGGGGGGGGGGGGGGGGGTGTTTAAAGCTGGGCGTCTGCTACAATGCCCAACCCCCCTTGCTCTTAGTCCTTTTCACATTCTGAGACCTGCTTTGAATGTTCTGAGAGCCACATGCGGAATTTGTCAAAGGTGGCCGTGCCCCTGTCAGGGCCGGGTTGAGGTCTCCTGCTTTGTTGTCCCTGCAGCTTCCAAGGTACCCCTGGTGGGCTGGGGAACCAGGCTGGGGCCCTGGGTAAGGCTTGCATTTGCCGTACCCTAGGATTGGCTGCAGCTCTGATGTTCAGACACCACCCAGCCAAGCCTCCAGGTGATGAGGGGCAGGGCAGGATGCCCACAGAGCCTAGCTCCTCTTGGGGGCCTTAACAAGGAAGGGCCGCAGGGTGCCAGCCAAAGCTCGACCGGACATGTGCTCTATCCCCAGGCAACTCCCACTGCAAGTTGTCTGTAAAACGACAAAATGAAAATAGCGTTGTCATTACCCACCACAGGGCTGAAAATAACTTGGGCAAGAATAAGGCTTAGGGCACAGGCTCGTATTTGCCCAGGGGCCTCTGGGGGCCCTGCCTGGGAAGGGGTGCAGCCCTGGCTCCTTGCTGTTTGTGGTGTCTGGTGGTAAGAGACCACACTGGTCTGTTTGTCTCGATGCTCTTTCTTGGGGAAGTTGTGGGCACCAGAGGCCTCTGGCCTCAGTGAAGAGCAAGTCACGTGTCTAGAAGCCCAGGAGAAGGAGGGTGGCCCGCAGGGGCAGGCAGGCCCCTTCCCAGCACTGCAGCTTGGGGACAGGCCTGAGGGCCGGGCCTTTGAAGAAAGGCAGGCCGAGGCAGCTGCTGGGCAGTGGGTGTTGCTGCCGTGGGAAGAATCAGCCAAGTCCCCGCTCAAGGCACCGACAGCCACAGCCTCAGCCGGGACTGAGAAAGCCTGCGGGTACCTGCCCAGGGCCTGGCTCTGAGCTTCTTTATTACACCGTGTCTCATTATTTTACGCAGTTTAAGCAGCCGGGTGAGCCCAGGAGGGTTGGTTGCGCTATCTATATTATTCTATCCTTTGAGACAGCCTCACCGTGTAGCCGGAGCTGGCCTGGAACTTACTATGTCACTATGTGGACGAGGCTGGCCTCAAGCCCACCTACTGGGATTTGGGTCATGTAGACCAGGCTGGCCTCAAGCCCACCTACTGGGATTTGGGTCATGTAGACCACACCCTCTCTTTATTTGCTTTTTAGGTGCTTTTTTTCCTTAATTTAATAATGCATGCATGCGTGTATGCACGCGAGTACAGGTTCCCATAGAAGCCAGGGGTAGTGGAAGCCCCTCGGGCTGGATTTAGAAGCAGCTGTGCGCTCTCTAACCAAACCTTGTCTTCTTCGTCAGCAGCTTCAGCCGCAGCACTCTTAACTGCTGAGTCATCTCTCAGCCCCCAGTTCATTTTCATTTCCCTTTTTGAGACAGCCTTACATATGCCAGGCTGGCCTCTGACTGGCCGTAGAGTCAAGGATGACCTTAAACTTAGGATCCTCCTGCCTCCACTTCCCACGTACTAGGATTACAGGCATGTGCAGCACTGGGGGCAGAGCCCAGGGCTTCATGCATGCTAAGCAAGCACTCTACCAACGAAACAGCACCCCCACAGCACCCCCCACACACACACACACTTTATGGACGAGGAAACTGAGACTCTAGGAGCTCTCACTCAGGGTCAGTCAGAGGAGCAAACTAAGGCCCTTGCTTTTAACCACTGGATCGCCATGTAGCCCCGGCTGTCCTGGAACTCACCGTGTAGACCAGGCTGGCCCCAGACTCATAGAGATCCAGCTGCCTCTGCTTCCTAAGTGCTGGGGCTAAAGGTTTGGTTCTGATACAAGATCTCAAGGTGTAATTTAGACTGGCCACTGGCTTAGAATCCTCCTGCCTCTTCCTGAGGAGGGCACAGCCACACTGCGTGGAAGAACATTTGGGATATTGAGAAGATAGATGTTGCGCTGCGTGGTGGGAGCTTGTGGGGTGCGTGTGTGTGCGCACTCGCATGCACACGTGTTTGGAGAGAAGGGAGGAGCTTTCAAACACCCCAGCTATTATTGTGGACATCTCCCTGACTTGCTGTGTGATCTCGCACAGGCCCTATACCTTTCTGGGCTTCATTTGTATCCTGTGTCAAGCAAAGGGTTGGGTAGAGGGTCCCCAAGGCTGGTCTTGGCAGCCAGGGCAGGAGGAGGCAGTGTCATACATAGAGAAAGGTCAGATCAGGGAAGGAGGAATGTAAAAAAAAATGTCAAGCATTTGAAGTCAAGGAGGAGAGAATGTTTTGACAGCAAAGAGATGGCCAGTGACCTTGGCAAGCTTTGGCCCTTTGGAATGGAGTGAGCGGAAGTGGCTTTGGACAGGGGCCAGGAAAGGGCTGAGCCAGAGGAAATGGGAGAGTGGGACCCAGAGATAGGGGAAAGGATGTTTGCCTTAAGGCAGGGGTGGCTAATGAGAAAAGGTCACTCCTGATTGATTAGTATTGCCTGCCTGAGGCCATAGTTGAGAACCGGGGAGGCACTGCTGTCCATTAGCAATGTCTGCCAAGGACACAGGTATTGGGCATGGGATGTGTCTCAGGTTGGAGGTGGTGGGCTGAGTATCTTGGTCTATGAAGAAGCGGCAGTGTCAGTGATTAGGAAATACCTAAGAACCTCTGACCTTTGGTTAAAATGGAGGCAGTTTGCCTCGTGGCGAGTTGTGTGGTCCAGTGGTCAGGAGCTTGGGCAAGTCCAGTCCCCCCACCCCAGCTGTAGAATGGACGTGAAAGTCCTGCAAGGCCATTCTGCCTGCACTGTTGTCTGACGTGGCGGCTCTGCTTGTCCTGGAGTTAGCACCGTGGTTTTTTCCAGGGCAGGGAGTTGTTTGGGGTCCTCATTGCCTGACCCAGGGCTGTGCACACTCAGGGACTCTCCGCTCCCTTTTGTAGGCATCACGTTGGGCTTTAGGGTCATCTGAGTTGGGGCCTGGCCTTACGTTGGGGATGAGGCCTAGAGGGCAGGGAATCAGCCATAGCTGGGGCTGAGGGTGTTCAGGACCTGACATTGCTACACTCAGAAAACACCAAGTGCCAGCTGTGTGCCAGGCTCTGGGGGACCAATGAACAAAGCCACTGGTCTAAGGGGAGGGGTAATACTTACAGGTCGCCTCCTACCCCTACCCACGAACACACAGTGTCAGTGAGGGACAGTGTCTTGCTCAACGCGGATCCCGAGCCGAGAGCCATATGGATGAAGTGACAGAACCGCTGGACCCGAGCCTTGGGCAAGGAAGGCAACAGGGAATCCAGAGGGGCCAGGGACATGGTAGTGTCCCTTGAGCCCAGGATTCCACCTGCTCCTGACAGTGCAGGAGGTCCTAAGCTTGTGTCATGGCCTTTCCATCGTAGCTGGTGGGGAAGACGGAGCACTTCTGTGTGGAGTGGCACAGTCATATGAGCACCTATGGGTGCAGCACCCGAGGGTGACAGGAGGGTCCCCAGCACAACTGTGTGCTCATCCCTTAGCCTCAGTTCCAAGGAAGAACGGTGGGATGACTAAGCCTTCCCTTAGGGTCTGCACTTCCCTGCCCCCTGGTTCTCAGTACTTCCTTCCCGCATGTGGACCAGTTGGCACCCTCCCCAACTCGCCCCTGCCCCCTCTCTCAACCCAGGCTCATCCCTCCTTCTTGGTGACGTCATTTAACTAACCCTAGTTCCTCCTCTGTATCTTTGCTGGTGCTCACTCCCAGACTACCCGTCTCTAAAGCAAGTGTGGGCTAGAATGTACCAGCCGGCGGCTAAGTCTGCCTGTGTTTACCATGGTGGTTGTTGGCCCATGCCTTCAGCCCCTGAGCCTCAGTTTCCTTATCTGTCATCTGTGATAATCTTCTCCTCAGAGAATCAGACTGAGGACTTGGTGAGGAGGTGGGACCATTCGCCCTCAGCATTGACAGAGTTTGGGCTCGTGGGATGATGCCGTAGACTGACTCTGTGACTTGTTTGGCTTGCTGGGCTTTGGAGCAGCTGTCTGCAGTGTGTGTGTGGCAGGTTGTGGGTGTCCTGAGGGTGAATGGGGACAGAGTATGTAAGGGTGCTTAGGCGTCTGGGAGAGAACAGTTAAAGTGAGGATGGGCCCCCATTGTGCTGAGGAGGCAGAGAGAGAGAGAGAGCCAGGCCTGCTCAGCCGACTGAGGGCTGCCTGTCCTGTGCTAGAGTTGCCGGAGAACTGGACAGACACTCGGGAGACGCTGCTGGAGGGCATGATTTTCAGCCTCAAGTACCTTGGCATGACGCTGGTGGAGAGGCCCAAGGGCGAGGAGCTGTCTGCAGCTGCAGTCAAGAGGATCGTGGCTACCGTGAGTGTCCAGACGGGAGGACAGGATGCTGCCCGCTTGCCCTTGTCCCCGGGTGGGACCTGGCCCACCCTGAGTCTCCTGTGTCCCGCTCAGGAGTTTTTATGGAGATTGCCTTTGTGTCAGTCAGGGCCCACCCTTCAGGCCCTCCTGGCCTTGGCTGCTTTTCTAGCCTGGAGTCCCCACATCAGGGCTACTGGTGAGCCACTAGCTCCAAGGAGGGAAGGAAGTTGTCCCCCATTTACCGTGTTCCCACTGCCCACCACAGTCTTCTCCCTGCCTCTGAGTGTGGGCCCTTTAAGTGGAGTCCCTAGGGTGGCCTTGACCTGCTGCTCAGGCCCTGGCATGTGGGTGGAGCTGGGTCTCGGGGTCACAGTGCTGGGCTGTAGCAGTACTTCAGCGAGCTGTTTAGTGCCCCTCCCCCGCCACATGTCCTTGGGCCAGTCCAGCTCTTCCCCTGGGAGTCCCCATCTTCCTGGATGGGGGTGGGGTACTGTTGAGCCCCTCCTATGAGGGCCAGGGCTCACGGGGCATCAGGGGCCAGTGGGCGGTGGCTGTCCGTTTGTGTCTCAGGAGGGTTGTCCTGGTTTGCTTTCTGTTACCGCTGACCGAAAATGGGTTGGGTAGGAAAGGATTTGTCTCTCTTAAGCTTGTGTCATGGCCTATCACTGAGAGGGAAGTCAGGGCAGGAACTGAAGCGGAGACCAAGGAGCTCACTGGCCTGCTCCTCACAGCTTGCTCAGCCTGCTTTTCTGTACAATCCAGGACGACCTACCCACCCCCAGGGCACTGGGTCCTCCCACATCAATCACCCGTCAAGGAGCTACCCCACGGACTTGCCTCTACAGGCCAGTCTGATGAAGGTGTTTTCTTAATTGAGGTTCTCTCTTCCCAGACGATCCTAGCTTACGTGAAGTTTACAAAAACTAGCCAGCCGGCACAAGGATGCTGGTTGTTGTCTGTGCCAAGGGACCTTAGAGCTGTGAGACTCGGCCCACCAGGCAGGCTCCTCTGACCCCTGTGTGTCCCTAGGCCAAGGCCAGTGGGAAGAAACTGCAGAAGGTAACACTGAAGGTGTCGCCTCGGGGGATCATCCTGACAGACAGCCTCACCAGCCAGCTCATTGAGAACGTGTCCATTTACAGGTATGCTTGGTGGAGAGCGGCTGGCGTCTACTCTGAATCTAGGCTCTGCAGCTTTCTTTCTGGAGCCAAATCGTCCTCATCTGTAAAATGGGCTGGGGGCGGGTCCTGCTGTTAAGAGTAGTGCTAGCGAGTCACCCGCAGCTCACAGGGAGGCAGGGACAGTGGGCACGGCTGTTCTGTCAGGCTGGGCGCACACAGCTGTGGGCCTGCCTGCTCTTTCTGCCTTGAACACAGTGCTCAGCCCTCGTTCTTTGGCTCAGAGTCCCAGAGAGGCCTCGTGCGAGGTTTGGAGCAATAATGGAGATGCACCCTCCCTGGTCCCAAGGGAGGTAGGATCCAGCCCCAGGGGCCTCAGGCTACCCCACTTCTTTCTCATCTAGTCAGGTGTAGGAGTACAAAACTGGGGAAAGGCAGCCCAAATCCATGTTATCCCAGGAGAAGCCCGAGGCCTAGAGAGGGAGTGGCCCGAGACTGTACCATGAGGCAGAGGCTGAGCTGGGTCCAGGACACCACCTGGAGATCTGCCCGCCCAGGTCCCAGGCCATGATGGGGTGGGCACAGGTGTGCTGGAGTGCTTCCCAGAGCTCCAAGCTGCTGCCTCTGTCCCACCATCCAGATCCTGCCTGCTTTCCCTTAGCCAAAACTGCCAAGTGCCTACTTAGCCTTGTCCTCTGGGCATGTCCAGTCTGGAAAGGAATGGAGGGCAGGACATAGAAGACAGTGCTTCCCAAGAAGGAAAAGGAGGAGGGTGTTCCAGGGGAACCCTGGGAAAGCCTCGCAGTGGTGGTGGCTCCTTGTGGGATCTGGCTGATGGCTTTCCGGAAGCAAGGGATGAGCAGCGGGAGGCCAGATGCCTAGGATGGAAAAGGCATTTGGGGACATGGCACCCACTTCTTCCCTCCTGGGGGTGATCAGTGGTGTCATCAAAGCTGGGTGAGCCATGAATCTGCTGAGCTGTCCTGCCCCTGAGCCACCAGCCCCTCCCCTAACTGAGTCTCAGGATAAATAGAAGTAGGGAAGGGTTAGACAACAGAAGAATAGATGGCGAGGGCTCAGGTCGCTGAGGTTGTGGGTAGAAACTAGAAAGGTCATTGTTTGCTGCGGAGGAAGCTGATATGTCTCCCCCACGGGGCTCCTGGGTGGGTCATCTTTACATAGCCCCACCCCAGCCCCAGCTCCGACCCTGGCCACAATTCCAGGAGGTCTTTCTCATAGTCCTGTCTCCTGGGAAATGGTCCCAGATATCACCTGGTGTCTGGTTAGTATAGGGCTGTGGTTCTTGACCTATGGGTCATGACCTCTTTGGGGGAGGGGTTGAACGACCCTTTCACAGGGGTTGTCTAAGACAGAAAACACAGATAGTTACATTACAGTTCATAACTGTAGCAAAACAGTTATGAAGTGGCAAGGAAAATTTATGATTGGGGTCACCACAACATGAGGAACTGAATTAAAAGGTTGCAACATCAGGAGGGTTGAGATCTGCTGCTGTAGACTACGAAGGGCCGAGGTAGGCAGCGCAGTGTGTCTTGCTTCTCCTCCCAGCCAGTTGGCACAGACCCTTCAGGATTGTGGCTGTGAGTTCACATCCTGCCTCTATCAGCAGCATTGGGTCCCAGTGGACCCCTGGCTCCGAGGACCGCCCAGACGCTAACCGTGGAAGCCCCTGGGGGGCAGATGTTCCTGTTAGGGGTGGGGCTCGGCATGGCACGAGAGAGAGCAGAGGCTCCCTTCATTCCTTATCCCCACCTCCCCTGCCTGGCCTGACTCTCTCCCTGTAGAGGGCTCAGGAGGCCGAGGCCAGACCTGCAGAGGCTTGCCTGGTGGGGAGGCACATCGGCTGCGGTGAGGCGTTTGCAGGCCTGGTGACGCTTCTCACCTGCTTTTCAGGATCTCCTACTGCACGGCAGACAAGATGCACGACAAGGTGTTCGCATACATCGCCCAGAGCCAGCACAGCGAGAGCCTGGAGTGCCATGCCTTCCTCTGCACCAAGCGCAAAGTGGTCAGTGGCGGGGGGGGGGGGGGGAGAAAGCAGGGGGAAGTCCCTGGGAATCTCAGGTGCTCAGGTGGGCGAGAGAGGGCACAGAGCGCTGCGGCCGTGACTGTGAGCAGCTGGACGGTCTGGCTGCGGGCAGACAAGCCCACGGCACGTGCGCGTATTCCTCTCAGTAATGCAATTGTTGGGCTTGAGGCTGCCACACTCCTGCCGTTCGTACAGCCTGGGCGTGCAGGCCTTGCAGGCATTGTTTTTGGAAATGGGGAACCGGAGGGGCCTGGGAAGAGGTAACAGTGAGAATCCTCTGGACTAGGCTGTCTGGGGCCAGACTCGGGAGGCCGATGGCTCCTTTGCAACGCCTCTGTGCCCATTTTGGAGCTGGGCTTCCAAGTGTCTTTTTGTTCAGTCTCCAGGGAGGTCCCGGAAGGTGGAAACGGTTAGGGTCTCTGTTGCTTTCCTTAAGCCTTTTAATTACGATGAAACACACCCCAGAAGTCTTGCTTATGATGGCACAGCCCGCCAGGTGCAAAGCGAGGCTGTGAGCCCACAGTCCCTCCTCTGCACAGCTGAGAGCTTCCTGCCCGCGCCCCTTGGCCACGCCTGATGGGGTTGAATGATGACACCTTGGTGGTCTCCTGCCCTCGCTGTAAAAGGGGAGGACTTTGTTGTTGACACTTCGGTTTCTGGGGCCCGTGAGGGCTGAGTGCGAGCAGGCCTCTGACGTCAGCTGGCTCGGCATCTGATCAGTTCAGAGGCTCAGCGTCTGCATCCGCCGACAGTTCAGAGCCTGATTCCCAGGCCCAGGCTTCTCAGAGGCAGGAGATGAGTCCCTTACCTTCCCCATCAAAGGACATATCGGGAGCCCCACAGTCTCGAGGCCCCCAGGTTGCTAATATCAGATGCGTTTCCAAGGGCTGAGGGAAGAAATGATGACAAACTTAGTGACAGGGTAGATTCGCCCTCTTCCGGGCCTGGGAAGAGGCACTGGCTAATCGGCCAGTGAGCTTGCATTTCTTCAGGAGCCCTGGAGTGAACACGTCTTCTTTCCTACCTTCTTGAGTACCTTCACAGACTAACTACAGCCCTTGCCTCACAGGCCCATCCTCCATGGGTACCATCTTCCATCTTCCCATATCGCGTCCGTCTTAGTCACTGTGAAGAGACACTTATGGCCAAGGCAACTCTTTTATTTTATTTTTTTAATATTTATTTCTTTATTGTGTATACAATGTTCTATCAGCATGCCAAAAGAGGGCACCAGGTCTCATTATAGATGGTTGTGAGCCATATGTGGCTGCTGGGAATTGAACCCAGGACCTTTGGAAGAGCAAAGTACTCTTAACCATCTCTCCAGCCCCCAAGGCAACTCTTACTAAAGGAAGCATTTAATTGGGGGCTTGCTTACAGTTCACAAGTCTGTTATCATGGCAGGAAGCAGGCAGTATGCAGGCAGGCAGGCAGGCAGGCGCTGGAGCAGTAGCTGAGAGCTGGGTCCTAATCCAAAGACAGAGAGGGCCATGTTGGGCCTACTGTTGTGAGCTTTTTAAACGCCAAAGCCCACCCCCAGTGACACACCTCCTCCAACAAACCACACCTCCTAATCCTTCTCAAATAGTGCCACTCCCTGATGAGAAGGCATATGGGCCTGTGGGGGCCATTCTTACTCAAACCAGCACAGTGTCCATCCTGGGATCCTCTCAGGTCCCTGTGGTGATAAAGGCCACTGGATAGCCAGGCTTACCTCCCCATCGCAACACCCTTAAGCTAATCCCACCTGTGCATCCCTGTTGCTGTGTGGAGGACAGCTAGGAGAATGGGGACAATGTGCTGGGTGAGCTCCGCCCTACCCTGGTCTGCTCACCTATCAGCAGAATGAGGAGGTTACCCCAATGACCTGAGGGTTGTTCCAAAGGCCCTGTTTCTTTTGCACGCCTTATCTCCTGTCCTCCACACAGCAACAGGGACGCTGAGCAGTGGTGGCATCTCCCATGACAGCCTGGTTCCCACAGAAGCCAGGCGACTTTGGTTTGAATGAGGCCACCTTGACTTAAAATAAAACTTACTGTGCCCCCCAATTGTTCTCTTCTTCCTCCCCACTGACCTCGCCAGGCAGGGCTGCTGGCCCTAGGTCATTGCCACAGCGTGGGCATTGGAAGGGCGTTACCACGTGAAGCAGCTCTCTTCTGGGGTGGGGTCCTGGCAGTGAGGCCGAACAGGGAGCAGGCCCAGCCATGCAGAGGGAGGCCTGGGCCAGAGGGCTGTACACAGCCTGCCGAAGCCAGCTCCCTCGTGGCTGCACAGGTGGGGGTCAGGGCTCTTGCTGGACGCCAGCTGTTGGTCTCTCTGTATGGCCTGGCTGTGCTCTGTCCTCCACCTACCCCTACTCTTTGTCACCCAGGGTCGCCAAGCCACTCTGGGGCGGTATAGGTACCTCCCAGGGCTCCAAGGTCATAGCCACCAGTGAGAGTGACCTTCAAGCCTGATGATTATCTGAGGGAGAAGCAAGGGTGAGTCGGGAGCCTTGGCTCTCCCCACCTGCTGGCAGCTGTCTCCAGTTCGTGGACAAGGCTCTGCAGTGCACACTGGGAATCTGTAAAGTGGGGCCGGGGGCCTTTGACACTGAGTCTAGGGCTTGGCTCTAGGGTGGAGGTTTTCAGACCTGAAGGTTAGGGAGCCTTAAAGGATGAATAGAGCAGTGAACAGAAGTGTGCCAGGCTGGGGCGAGAGAGGGGAGGAGCAAGTGCAGCTAGCTTGGGGATTGAGTGTGCAAAAGCACAACTTGAAGTGTGCAGGGCCCGAGGACACAGCACCAGGTCTCCAGGCAGGGCCGGCCTGCAGAAGCCAGCCTGCAAATGTGGCCCTCGCCGAGCCTCTGCCTCTCTTTGCTGGCTCTAAGCGAGAAGCTTGGAGAGAGGGATGTCTTCTGGGTTCCTCACTGTGCAGCCCGAGAACCCCCTTTCCTGGTCTTGTTTTGTCCTGACCTGAATATCACTGCAAGGAAGTGGTTCATGTACTCAGGTGACAGGCCTCCGCTCGGCAACCACATCTCCTTTGTGCTCAGAAGGGCAGGTGGAGTTTAGGCTCCCCATGTAGGCAGAGGCCTGGACACGCCACTCTGTCTGCCAGAGGGGACGGGGCTATCTCCTCCACATGGACCTTGGGGTTCCAGAGTAATCTTTGTGCAGAGGTTAACATGGGAACCAGGTCAGCCCTGGCAAGGCTGATAGGGAGCACAGAGCCTGGTTTGGGCTGTACACCTGCCCCTCTTTGACTTATTGGTGTAGCCTGCTGAGGGGGAGCAGGGTCGGGAGGGACAGGGACAGACCCACAGCAGGGGTCCCGGGAGGGCTGTGTGGTGCCCCGGGGAATGCAGGTCTGCCCACCGAGTGCTCCTGGGACTCTTAGCTGCTGGGGGTCTCTGGGGAAGCAGGTCCCCCCAGGTCCCTCCAGCCCAGACCTGCGGCCACCTGCGCATGTCACCGCACGTCTCAGCTTTGGTTATACGTTCACTGTGACTTACTGTGCTGGGCATCAGGGCAGAGGGCCAGGAATATGTGCAAATGGACCAGATTTATGTAACCAGCATAAACCCGTGTCCCTGGGTTCCTGAAGGCAGATGTAATGGTGTTCCCGTGGCCCTGCCACACGGGTGACCAGTCCTTGCTCCGGAGTCTAGAGATCTGACTTGGGCTGGTAATTAGCCCATATTTTTAGTTCATGGGCAATTCTCAATGGTAACTGGGTCCATTAAACTTGATTCAGACGTGACAGCTTAAATTGTAAACAGCTGCGAAGAGTTTCATACTTAATTACCATATTTAAGTTTTACCATAAAGCATCCGTACTTCCATCAAAAATGTAAATGACGGAGACATTCAAATGAGACTTTATACTTCGTGAAGTTTAATTGGCGCAGATCAGTCAGTTTGGGGGTTTGAAATTTTTTTTTTTTCTTTTTTCTGTAAAGAGCTTTGAAGGCGGTGGCTACAAATTTTATTTCTCAATTAAATGAAGTTGTCTGGTAGAAGCTGCTTAAGCCTGAACTTGTTCGGTTGAAAGAGTGTGCTACCCTTCTGGAGGGCGTGCACTCCCAGCGCTGGGCCGGTCACCCCGGGATGGGGCTAACAGGAGACGGGAGCAGATCTGTGCCACAGTTGGGACCTCAGAGGCCGTGGCTGCCATCTGAGGGCAGGGTCTGAGCTCTCGCTTGTGGGAGACATTCCCCTCGTGTGAGATAGAGTCAGCTAGTCCAGAAGGAGGTGGGTGGGGCAGTAGAGCCCTGTGCTGGTCACAGGAGGTGGGATGGTGACCTGTGAGTGGGATTTGAAGCAGGCACCAAGGCACCCGCTCCCAGGCTGGCCACAGGACTACGTGGCTTTTGCTCCTGACCGTCACCAGCATCTTGACTCTGCCGCCTGGCGTGTCAGTCATCAGCGGCTGGCACCCCAACGCGCTGTAACCCTGAATAGTGTGGCTTCTACTCTGGCTGTAGTTCATTCAGGCGTGGCTAGGCCTTTCCACTCCTTGCTTCCGATGTCTAGTTCAAGGGCACTGTGAGCGTAGGGAATATTCTGATAACCCAGGAGGGCTTCCCGGAAGAACGAGCTCTCACAGTTGGTTTGGGTTTGCCTGAAGGGAAAGAAAACGTGGAGGTGAATAGCCGCTGTTGGAGGGGCGGGACAGAAGGTGCTACATTGGGCCCTAACTGCCTTTCTGGGGCGTGGCTTCGCTATGCCCCAGGCTACTGTAGGAGACTGAGGAGCTTGCCCCTGACCCCTTCCCCTCAAGCCTCCCAGGGCCCGGCATCGGCTGGGCACCCCGCCCTCCCGTTCATACTTGTTTTTGCTGGGTGGCACTGCACCCATCCCCAACCCCATTTCCTGTTTTTCAGGCACAGGCCGTCACCCTCACCGTAGCCCAGGCCTTCAAAGTTGCCTTTGAGTTTTGGCAGGTGTCCAAGGAAGGTGAGTCTTTCTCCTGGGCTTCGTGAGTGATGTGAACAGGGACGGACACAGGCCAGGTGTCAGACCTGAGCTCGTGCCACCCTCTTCCCCTACTAGGCTTGTGGTTTTGAGGAGGTCCTGTTCCTCTCTAAGCCTCAGTTTCCCCATCTGGGCAAAGGCTGTCTTCCCCGTCTTCAGAGTGTTTGGGCTTAAGTAAACTTGGAAGGGGTCCCTCCACCTGGGTGATGACCTCATATGGCCCCCGAGCACACCCAGCCTCCCTGCTCCACGGTGGTTAATAGACGGTGGCTGTTGCGAGGCCTCAGCGTGTGTGCTTGATCCCACAGAGAAAGAGAAGAGGGAGAAAGCCAACCAAGATGGAGGAGACGTCCCAGCGACCCGACGTGACAGCAACCCCTCATTGAAAAGCTGTGAGTCTTGGGCACCGAGCCTGTCTTCTGTCTGGGCCTTCCCTCCTGAGGGGGCCCTGGGCTCCTCCAGTTCAGACAGGGTTTCTCTGTGTAATAGAGCCCTGGCTGTCCTGGACTTACCTGGACTCACTCTGTAGACCAGGCTAGCCTCAAACTCAGAGATCCGCCTGCCTCTGCCTTCCAAGGGCTGGGACTACAGGTGTGCGCCCCTCCTGAGCTCCTGCTGTTTCCTTCTGTTCTGTTAAACCAGCAGCACACACGCACCGCAGGTAGTCAGGAGGGTTGCTGTTCTGATGCATTCACCCAGGCTTGTCCCTGCGTGTAGGCATGGCCTGTGTGAGCTCCCGTGTGCCTCACAGCCTGGTAGACGTCCCAGACCGCTTGGTGCCCTTTCAGACGTTCAGCATCTGTTAGGGGTATGCAGGTCCCAGGTCTGCCCTCAGGGGCCACAGCTTCTCCCCTGTGGGCAACGGTCCTGTAGCCCCAGGTGGGGAGGGTCAGAGTGGCACTCTAGGCAATCTGGGGCCTACATCCGGCACAATTGAGTTTTTTGTTTGTTTGATTTTGAGGCAGGGTCTCTCTACATAACCCTGGCTGTCCTGGAACTCCCTGTGTAGACCAGGCTGACGTGGAACTCACAGAGATCTGCCTGCCTTCATGTTCCGAGTGCCGGCATTAAAGGCGTGTGCCACTGTGCCTGGCCTCACAGGGACATCTGGATGGACAAAGAGTCCAAGAGCTAGTCTGGACCAGTGTAGTGCAGGGGTCCTGGGGTGCGTGTGGAAGAGGCCAGAGGAGATGTGCATTACATCCTTTTCTCCTCATGTCCGCACCTGACCCCTCATAGTGGTTGCCACTGGGAACCTGCTGGATTTGGAAGAGGTGGCTAAGGCGCCATTGTCCACGGTCAGCGCTAACACCAACAATGTAGACGAGACGCTGCGGCCTCAAGTACTGGGCAACAGCAGTGTGGTCTGGGTGAGTGGCTGTCAGGTCCAGACCCTGACACCATACTTATGGGCCTGTGGAAGGATCAGAACCAGCCCAGCAGCACCTAGGCCCTGGGTAGAGTGGCTGAACAATGTCCCCTCTGAACCCAGGGTTGTGTCCCCGACAGGCTTGGTTCCCTGCACAGCTGTCTCCTCCTCACAATGCTCAACTCTGAATCGGAGTGAGTGTGACTCCTCCCACTCAGACCAGCAAAGGCTCCCTTGTTCTAGGCATGGCAGGTTTGTGCCTGGCACCCCTCCCTTCTCAGCTGTCTGAGTGCTCAGCCCAGCCTCTGGCTCTCGGGACTCACGCCTGTGCCTGACCTCCAAGTCAGCCTTTTTATTCAGTGAGGACGGCGGCCTTCTATAGCATCTCCCAAAGGAGCCTGAATGGCCTTTAATTCCAATTTTCATTTGGGTGGTTGGCTTCGGTGTGCATTATTCCAGTGCCCCATAGACACTGCAGGTGTCAGTGTCCTTGTCAGCACATGACAATGACCGATGGCCCTCCCCCCACCCTCCAGCTTCAGAGTCTCCAACTCCACTCTGCTTGGTCCTAGGTGGCCTTCTGGGCCATGAGCCACTGCAGATGACACTTGTGCTTGTCATAGCCCCACCTTGCATTGCATTGCTTTGCTTCGATTTGCTTTGCTTTGCTTTCCTCTTTCCTCTTTCCTCTTTTTCCTCTTTCCTCTTTCCCTTTCCCTTTTTCTCTTCCCTTTTCTCTTCCCTTTACCCCTCCCCTTTCCCTTTCCCTTCCCTTTCCTATCTTCCTTCCTTCCTTCCTTCCTTCCTTCTTTCCTTCCTTCCTTCCTTCCTTCCTTTCTTTCTTTCTTTCTTTCTTTCTTTCTTTCTTTCTTTCTTTCTTTTTTCTTTTTTCTTTTTTGAAACAGAATCTCTATATAGCCCTGACTGTTCTGGAACTCTGATCTTGAACTCAGAAATCCGCCTGCCTCTGCCTCCCAAATGCATTAAAGTGCATTAAAGGCATGTGCCACCATCCCTCGGGCCCCGAGCATGAGGTCCACCTAGGCTAGTTCCCGAAGGCACCCTCTGTCAACACACATACAGGTCCTGGGTCCCTGTAGCTCCCTTGGGGAACATGGCCCCACCCAGAGTTCTAACTTCATGCCTTGTTTCCAAGGAGCTGGATGATGGCCTGGATGAAGCATTTTCAAGGTAATGCTCCGAGGGTTTGTGCTGGGGGTGTGGGCATCGGGCTGGACCTGACTTCCCTTTACCCTTGGGCCTTCATTCTGACAGAGAACGTAAGCGCTGTAGCGTTCTACATGGCAATTCTTGGGTTCCTCCAGGGATAGGAAGCTTATTATTTGGGAATAAAGAGCTTTCAAGGCACCTGCCATGTGAGATGCTTTTTCAGTGAATCAGCGCAGGCCCAGCTTGGGAACATGTCATGAAGAAGGCTGCAGGAGAGGACTGGGCCACTCTGGTTATTAGGATTCCACCCTGGGCCCCCAGGCCTTCCTCGTCCCCTTTGGATGTCCAGCACCTTCAGAGGCCTTCTGCCTTGGGACTTTGCTTAGGGTTGGCGCCTTTGCCCTCCGGCCTCCCTCCTCCCTGCCACCTCTTGCTGCAGCCAGGGGCTGACAGCAGGTGAGGCACTTCCCAAGGAAGCAGAGCCCTGTGCCCCACCTTCCCAGCTTCACTGGCCGATTCTCCCCACATTTGAAAAACAGCTTCACCTGCTTTTCCAGAATGTTCAGTTGTCCCGGGTCCTTATTATCAGTTTCAAAAAGCAAATCATGGTGTATTATAACCCCTTGGCCCTGGACACCCTGCAGTGCTCTCAGAGGCCTCCCTCTAGGCATTAACACGCCCCAGGAGCCCCTCCGGAAGACAGAGCTACCCGCACTGACCTCTCCAGGTTCTCGTGGGCAGTAAGCTTGCCTCCTGTGTGACTGTTGGGAAGCCCATGCTGACCCTGGTTGTGCCAAGTCTTCTCGTGGCTCAATGCTTCCTTCCTACAACTGGCTCAGCACATTCCCTGGCCTGTGGTAGAGTAGGGGTTCATGGCCTGCTTCAGAGTTCTGACCCTCCTGGGCATCCTGTCTCCAGAGGCTCTACCTCCCCTGCTGATCTTTGGGTCCAGCCATTTTCCCACTCATGTTGCCTCCCCTCCAGCCCAGTACTGGCCAGGCTATCCCTGTTCTCAGCCCCTGCCAGCCCTCTCTGTGGCTTGGCTTACACAGCTTTGCCTTCCAGGCTGGCACAGTCACGGACAAACCCTCAAGTCCTGGACACTGGACTATCGGCCCAGGACATCCATTATGCACAGTGCTTATCGCCCACCGACTGGGACAAGCCTGACAGCAGTGGCATCGATCAAGATGACCTCTTCAACTTCTGAGTGCCCGGGGCCCGGCAGGACACAACCGCCCTTGACATGTGATGGACCGAAAGCCACCTGCAGCCGGGCGGCCAGCTCCAGGAGCCATCGGCCACCTTTGGCCAGCGGCAGCAGAGCCTGCTGATGAGGGCTGCTCAGTCAGGCAGGGAGAGAGGCAGCAAGATGCCTGGGGTAGCCAGTCAGCGACTCCTGGTTTATGCTCGGAAACCAGGTTTGCATTAGGCACTCACGGTGTGGGCAGAGTGGGGCCTGGCCTCCTGGCCTCTCTCCTGGAGCCAGTGCCCTGTCCTGCTGTGGGTGTTAGGACAATGACCAAAGCATTCCTTGTTCCTTTTCTCTGGGGCATCCTCACTCCTCAGGCAGTGAGGGCCTGTCATTGTTTGTGCACTGGAGGGGACATGGCTTTCAGGGAAGCCGGGGTCCTCAGGCTCGGCTTCCTCCGGGCCTAGCAGCATAGGCTCTCAGAGAGGCAGCCCCTGACCAAAGATACACACAGCTCTGCACTTTAACTGTCACACGTGGACATGGTTTGCCGTTCTTGATGGTGCTGTGGGAGTAGAGCGTGCCTCCTGCTCTCCCTCCACAAGAGGGCCCCAGTTCTCCAGGTGGTCCCGACAGCGCTGGGACCTTGGGTACCAGCTGTCCATGACTCTTGAGTCACCGCAACCCTGGGGATCACCTCCTTATGGCTTTCAGGAGCCCCCAACAGACAAAGCTGGGTCCGCCATTCAGTTTTGTCCGTGCGTCCTCATGTGTGCTCCGCCTTCTTCCTCCCCCATAATTCCTGGGGCGACACCAAAGCCCTGCTCTGGGTTGCGGCAGAATAGTTTGCATCCATCTTACAGCTAAGGAAACTGAGGCGGCACGTGCCGGGGGGTTGGGGGGTGGAATGGAGAATAGTACCCAGATCTGATACCAAAGCTGCTGTCTGTGCTCCACCTCGCAGCCCACGCCTCATCCTCCCCAGTTCTGTTGTCCTCCCAGGAACCAAAAAGCCCTAGCTATTTTCTGACCAAAATGTGTTTCATAACAAACCATCTGGTGCCTTTCCACACAGCGCTGGCGCAGGCCTCCGTGCCCTGCGAGCTGCAACGATGCTGACTTCTGGGAAGATGCGAGTGTTCTGAAGTCTGTTGACCCCACGGGTGAAAGGGGGGTCCTGCTCTAGAAATGTCTCGCTGTCCTTTCCTGACCGGCAGACCAGGTGGTCACCCCCTCCCCCTGTGGCTGCCCAGTGGGGAACTCTCCTTAGTCTCATCTCCCTTCACTGGTCCCGGCGGGGGGGGGGGGGGGCGCTCTGGCATCCTGAACTACAGCCAAGCCACAAGCATCGTTCCATTGCAAGGAGCCCCCAGTGGCTGGGCTGGCAAGAGCAGGTCTCAGCAGCCCAGGAAAAACACACCAGCATGACTTAGAGTTCCCAGCGCTTACCGAGTGGCTGAGTCAGACCCTTGCCTTGGGCAGGGCACTTTGAGACTCCACCATAGAAGGGTAGCTAGGTCCCTTTCCCCAGTCAGCTCCAGGCCCCCGATCCTACCCCAGGTGGCTGGGGTCCTGGGTGCCGTGGGGTTGGGTGGTGCTATAGTCTCGTTGACAGGGTGTCTGCTTCCTGTGCCTGCTGCCAAGGCTGCTGTGTGAGGCTGGAAAGGCAGTTCTGAGAGGAAACAATAAATGTTCCCTTTTCTAAAAAAAAAAAAAAAATACGTATGAGCACTGTGTTGTTGGTGATGAGGGGCAGTAGTGTGTCAAGAGATGGGGGCAGGTCACACGTCCTTGCTACAGGAAGACGTTGAGCATTACCGCATTATTGGTAGTACGTGTCCAGGGGCTCAAAGGCCTTCTCAGAGCAAAAGGTCATTTGGATCGAATGTGTAAGTCCTAGCAGACTCTCGGACAGTCAGTGCCCACTGACTTACAGAAGAGCCCCGATGCCATGCATTACTGCTAAAGCTGCCAGGCTTAGACAGGAGGGCAGGCCTGCGCTGAGTGCCCAGAAAGGTCACTGCCCATCTTACATCCCTAACCCTCACCCTGCCCTGTAGGAGTTTCCCAAGTGATGGCTGTGGTCCAGCTACTCATGTCCTGCCCAGACTCAGAGACCACCCCAGCAAGGCCGCCTTCCTCAAGTTCCATGGGCTTCTATCTGGGGACCCACAGCCACTGCTGCTTCCTGTAGCTTGTGGGGGTCTTGGGCTTCTATGCCCTCGTCCCTTTCAGTGTCCAGAGGCAGAGCCTTCTGATGCCAGCCGATGGGCAGACTCCCTTCGAGGCCCACGTTGGATCAGAGCAGACTACGAAATTCTTTCTTTTCTCCCCCATAATTTGAAAAGACACTGGACAAGCTCATCTTTCGGTTTAAATTTGGCCAATGCCTTTAGTCTCCGGATGTCTCAAATTATGGATCCTGAGCTCAGCCGCTAGCTCTTTCATGCATAACGGATGAAGTGGAAGAACAAAGCTGCCTTTCAGATTTGATGTGACCTTCAGCTTCTCAGGGTAGGCTGGGTTGGCTCTCCAGGAGACGCCATCACAGCTACACCTCACGGGGGCTCTCCAGCTTCTGTGTCCGGGACAAAGGCCTGGTCTCGTTCCACTTTCCCCCCTGGTACAACAGGGCAAGTGAGCTGCTTGGTTATTAGGGAGGGCTATTTGTCAGGGCCCTTGTGCCCAACCTTTGCAGTATCAGTCTGCCTTGGCACCCTAGGAGGTGGCTAGGTGGTCTCAGAACCACTTTAAAGGCATAGAATCTCTCATTTCCTCTTTGACAGTTTTATACATGTAGACCATGTCTTGAGCCTGTGCGCCCCCAGCTCAGCCCTCCTACCCTCCCCCGGGGAATCCTGCACATCCCCTTCCCCCTTTCCCTTTGTAACGCACAGAGTCCGGCTAGTCCTGCCTGTCGAAATACTGACTGGCTCCGTTGGCTGGCCCTTGCGTAGGTACCCGAAGCTGCCCAGAGTTCTTGAATGTGCTGTCCGTGACCTGCCTAAAGAACAGCATTCCACAGCGTTCCCTGATCCTTGGGGAGAGGGTATGAGAAAGGTCGATGGAGATGCCCTTATTCTGGGTGGAGCACTCAGCCGTCACTCGCCTCAGCACTGTGACCCATTATGCGGGCATGAACTGCTGCCCTCTGCAAAGAGAAGCCACCCTGGCCCAGGTTAAGAGCAGCACTGATCTGTGGGCATAGACAGTGTTTAGAAAGCAGTGTGGCGACATGTCCTTTAGCAAAACAACGGCAGTTCCTCACTGGGCCTGTGACTGCCATCACCAGGCTTTTGACTGGGTTTAGAACACCAGGCCTGAATTCCTTCCTGTAGAGCAGGTCTCAAGTCCCAGAGAAGTTGGCTCTCGCCATCACCCTCACACCACTGTGGTGCCTGTGTGCGTATCATGCATGGTTGGTCGGTATTTGCATGCAGGATTGGGTACAGGGTAACGCTGCTGATGTGGTTTTTCCCTCCAGTGTCTGCATGGCTCCTTCCAGCACTGAGAGCTAGTCTACACAGAGGAAGCTTTTGGGTCATTCGGTTTGATTTCTGGGTCATACAACCAAGGTGTGTCTTGTGCGGTAGACTCTGGTGACCTCAGGGACCTCCCTGACTGATAGGTTGCAGGGAGGTATTCTCTGTAGTCCCACTTACATCTGAGGGATATAAGACAAGCTGGTCCGAGGCTTCCATTCAGGCGGAGGTAAGTCTGGGATTTGAAACCCCGGCTGGCTTATTTCACTTAGCGAATTTGAGTTGATGTAATGGCTGCCCACTAGTGTCCGCTTCTGTAAGGCCCATCAAGGTTAGCACAGGGCTCGAGACTCAGAGCCCATGTATTCACTGTCCTAGGCTGGCGCTGCCTCTGCAGGTCACTAGGAAACACTCAAAGAACATGACCTTGCTTACTGGCAGCTCCTGAGGCCAGCTCGGAATAACAGCCTTAACCAAATGGCAGTGTATTACTGCTAGGGCAGCTTGGAGCTTCCAGCCTGGACAGATGTGGGCTGGGACACAAGGCCACGCTGCTAGGCAACGATCTGCACGTGTCTGCTGGTGGCCAGCTTGGCCTTGTCTGTGGATGACAATCGGCCTCTGCTCTTGACCCTTCCTAGTCCAAGGGGCGGGGCGTGGTTCCCAGAAGTCCCTGCTCGTGTGGGCTTGCCCACACCAGTGTGACATTGGAGAACAGTGTTCAGGGGTGTTACAGCGCTTTGCCAGGTGGGTTACTGAGTGAGGGGGGTGGTCCAGCTGGACCTCAGAGAAGGAAGGTAGAGAGACGCCCTTGATGGCTTGGTAGCTCCCTGTCTGAGTCACTCCATGGCCAGGTGCCCAGGGGCAGAAGGGGTAGACCAGCCTGGGTTTCTGGTGGCAGCCCAGGAATTCGCAGGCCACCCAGGCCCTGATGCCACACCCTCCAGCAGGAACTGGCTGTGGGTGCGCTGGGTCTTCAGTACTCCCAGCTAGGAGCCCTGCAGCTCCCCTGGGCAGCTTTGCTGAAATGCTGGTCCAAAGACCCAGCTTCCCAAAATGTTTTCAAATAAAGGTTCTAGAACCTGTGTGGTGTGTGTGCGCGCGCACTCGGACACAAGTGTGTCATGATGTGGTGCACGTGTGGGGGTCAGGGCACAACTTTGTAGTTCTTCCAGGGATTGACGTCACTGGCCTTAAGGAGAAGCCTTTTTATCTGCTGAGCCATTTCGCTGCCCATTCGAGACTGTTACTGCCAGGAGGGTCCTTTTGTTTATGGTTGGGAATAGGATAGTCAGTGGGCATAGGACTTCCCCTACACTTGAGAGACAGGCTAAGAAATGACCCATATCCAGAATCCCCTTGAGCTCTTAATGGAGGGGTCGGAGCTGGAGGAAGTGAGTAGGATAAGAAGAGGTTGGGGAGGGCCTCGGGGAAAGCACTGTTGTACAGGCGCATCAGCCCTCGGCCCTCTAGGGCCCAGTACTATCTGCAGCTCTAGCTGCCACAACAGAGCTGTGGCCACACATGGGGTGGCTGGGGTGCTTTGAGCCCCAGATCTGCCGCTAGGTCACTGCACACAGCACTCGGATAGCCTGTCTGTTTCCTCCTCTGGAGGAGAGGGTGCTGGCAGTCGCACGAGGATTTGGGAGGGGCTGAGGAGCGAGCCCCTGAGTTAGTCTCTTAGCTGTGGCAGAGCAGCCTGTTTTGTGGCCATCACTGTTGGCTTCTTTGTAGATGGTATAGGACAGTCTGAGGGAGACCAGGGTAAGGACCACTCGAAATACCAGAGCTTCGGAGGAGGCCAGTCCTGTCCTGTGAACTTCTGCCTGGATGCTACCCCGGTATGCATGATGCTCGCCTCTCCTCCCAAGTCTGTGCCCTTGGGGAAGATGAGTTGGTTGTCTGGTCTGGAAGACATTCCTCTCTGGATGTCTCAGGTGGAAGAGCCGTAAAGAGAATTTGTTCAGAAAGTTGTGGGAGCGTAGGGTGTGTGTACCCAGTCTTCAGGGTGTGACAAGGGAACAGAGGGCTGCTGCCAGCTGTCCACCCTATGGTCTTTACATCCCAAAGTTAGTGGAGGCCCACAGAAGCTTCAGGTAGGGGATGGCAGGAGGATGGGTGCAGGGGTCCCACCCTGGAGAGACAGGGCCACCCACAGCAGCAGGAGGGAAGGGGTCTCCCAGGCTGCAGTAAGACACTTCCGGGGGGTGGGGAGCTCCGAGAAGACCTGGGTGCCGGGGTCGTGCTGAGTACTGACTTGTATTCTCCCCCACTCCTCAGGATGGTTGGGAAGCCCTGAGACCCAAAGGTGAAATGCTCTAACAGTAGATGGCCCCACACAGGCCGGACGTGCCCTCCGGCAGTCTCTGAGGCAGGCTGGGGTCAGGGCTGTCCACTCTGCACATCAGGATGGAACACCTGCCCTGTGCCAGATGTTTTAGGTGTTTGGAACATGGTGGCAGACCTAGGGACAACAATGGCCCCCATCCACACACAGAGCGGACATTCTGTGAGGGACGGTGCCACGGACTCTGCAAACAGGTACTCAGAGCATGGATGGTATCAGCGCAGGAGGCAGCAGGAGGGGCCGGGACTCCACGAAGGAGAGGAGAGCTAGGTGGGAGGGGGAGGAAAAAGCAGGGACAGATGCCAGAGAGAGAATGCATGAAGATGAGGGCCAGGAGGTAGAGAAGGTGGAGGAGATAAAGCGGGACTCCGGGGGGCAGGGGCCACTTTAGACCTGTCCTTGCAAGCCTCTGGGTGAGGATTTGGTTCTGGAAGCTGCTGCTGCCGCTCTGGGTACACAGCCAGCCAGGGAGCTCTGAGATTGCAAATGAGCAGAAGGTGACAAGAGTCACAGTTTCTCCCATTTTCCAGAAAAAGTGAGGCATATGACAAGGAGTTTGTCTTGGTGGTGATCCCCAGTCTGGGGGTCTGAGTGAAGTCCTGAGGTGTGTGCTTGTGTGATATGGAGGCCCAGTGGTCCTCAGTCCCTATCAGCCTGCTGGCACGGCTGGGCATCTCCCCCGACATTTTTGGGTCAGGAATGCAAGCGCCTACCCCTGTGTGTCAGTCGTGTGGACCGGAATGGGGCACATGTATGTGAGTCGGGGCACAGATAGGCCTGTATGTCCATGTCTGAGTCTGCTTGTCCAGAGGGCAGCATCAGGGACGTCTTCACTGGTGTGCACCTCCCAGAACTGTTGTCTTTCCTCCTTTCCTTTTTGTTTTTTCGGG